CAGTGGTGGATCTGCCTCAGCAGCAGGTACACCCCTCTCTGCCTCTCTGCCCGGCCGCGGAGACTCTGGTGCTCGGGCAGCTCGAAGAAGGAGAAGGTGAAGCTGCGTGAGAAGCTGAGCGCGGTGATGGCGCGCAGGGGGGGCAGACGCGCTGCCCGGGGGGTCTTCCTGTGGACGGGGGTCTTCCTGTGCGCTCTGCCCCCTGCAGACGGGCCTTTCCCCGGGTCCTGGCCCGGAGGTGGCACTGTCCCTCGGACCCTTGTTCTGCCCTCCACCCGAGGGGGGGGTGCAGGTGGGAGGGGCGGAGGGGCGGGGGGGGTTGCTATGGCAGCGAAGGAGGAGTCAGACAGGGACAGTCCACCCCAGGGGGCCATGGTGTCTGAGGACACAGGAGGAGGAGGAGTGGGGGGGGCGTGCTTCCTCCTCCTGGCCAGCGTGTGGCGCTGTGGGAGCGGAGGGCGGGGCGCCGTCTTGGGCTCGGGCAAGGAGACACGCCTCCCCGCTTCCTTCCCTGCAGAGAGGAAGAGAGAGAGTCAGAGAGGCGGGGGGGGAGAACGGGCAGAGGAGAGGATGATGAGGAGGGAGGGAACTAGGAACCGGAGGGAGGGGGAGAGGGAGTGTCGGACACCTGTCCACAGGGTCAGGACTGGAGCCAGGACCCGGGCTGTCTCACCTCCTGTCCTGCCGGTTCCGGACGGTATCAGGGGCAGCCGGACCTGGGACTTCAGCAACGTCGCCCCCTGCAGGAGGCACAAGAAGGCAGAGGCAGGATTACAGAGCCTGTGACTCCCATCCCTATGTCCTGATTTATGGGGTGAATAAGCGTACTGATCAGTGTCTTTAAAACGCCGCCACCTGATGAAACTTGTTTTGGACAAGAGCTGGAACGGGGTGCAGATGTAACTGGGCTCAGCGGGCCGTGTGAGTTACAGGAGTCTTGTTGCTTCTGCTGAAATCTACACAATTCGCTAACGAGCTGCTTCATTAGCTTCACACAGGGATACTCACTTGCTAACCTGTTGCGAAATGGGCTTCAAAGTAGGACCCTCTCTCACCTCTTTTGGGGCGTCAGGCCTGCGGGTGGGGGTGTCTTCTCGTGAGCAAATTCTCTGATGAAAAGAGGGGGCTCTGAGAGGGCTCCCTCTGCCTCCTCTCCTCCTAGCATGCTCCATCTTGGCAGAACAGTGGGGTGCTGGGGTGCTCCCCTCTCGTCTGTTTTCAGCCCCCTGCTGGCTCTTTCCCTCTCGCTCTTTCAGAGCTCACAGCAGAGTCTTACAGGCACAGGAAGCTGAACCACTTCTGCACAAACACAGAAACACAACGCAGAAACAATACCCTCTCTCCCTCTGTCCCCTCTCTCACACACTCTGATCCTACTCTCGCCCTCTGTCCTTTCCCACCATTTCTCCCTCTTTCCCTACTTTCTGCCCCACACTCTGTCCCTTCTCTCTCGGACTCTTCATCAGTCTGTCCCTTTCTCACTACACTCTCTCCCTCTGTTCCTGCTCTCACCCACACTCCCTCTCTCCCTCTGTCCCTGCTCTCTCCCACACTCCCTCTCTCCCTCTGTCCCTACTCTCTCCCACACTCCCTCTCTCCCTCTGT